AGAGTTGGAATAGAGAACATCTGTCCAGTGTTTTTATTTTACAGATGTCGAAACTCACGCATAATCAGTTAATAAACATTTATTAAGCTCCTATTAGGTTCCAGGCACTGTGCTAAGTGCTTAGGATACAAAAAAAAAAAGAGACAAAAGAGTGTCCATGCCCTCCAGGAGCTTGCAATCTAATGAAGACGACAACATGCAAACCCATATATATATACTTTATACAGGATCACTGAGAATATTGAGGAGAAGGAAGTCACTAGAATTAAGAGAGGTTGGGAAAGGCTTCTGGTAGAAGATGAGATTTTAGCTGGAACTTGAACACTTAGGCTTCAGCTTAGAGTTAGCCTAGGGTCACCAGAAGGCAAAGATGAGGAAGGAAATCATCTCAGGCATGGGGGACAGTCAGGGAAAATGCCAGGACCCAAAAGATGAAATGCCTTGGTGGAGAAACAGCTGGAGGCCAGTGTCCCTGTATTGAAGAGTACATGGCAGGGATTAAGGCATACAAAGACTGGAAAGGTAAAAAGAGGCTAGGTTATGAAGGCCTTGAATGCCAAATAGTTTTCTATTTGATCCTAGAGATGACAGGTAGCCACTGGAATTCTTGAGTGTGGGGGGAGGAGGTGACATGATTGTACCTGCATTTGAGGACAATCACTTTAGTGGCTAAATGGAGGATGGATTGGGGGCGGGGAGACTTGAGGCAGGCAAACCTCCCCAGCAGGCTATTCCAATAGTCCAGGTGTGAGATGGTGAGGACCTGCACTAGAATGGTGGCAGTGTCAGAAGGGGGAATATTCCAGAGAAGTTGCAGGCACCACCTTGGATGTGGGGAATAATAGTGAGGGGTCCAAGATGACTCCTAGGTTGTGAGCCTGAGGAACTGGGGGATGGTGGTGACTTGTACAGTACAGGGAAGGAAAAGGGTGAGAGTTTAGGGAGAAAGACAATGAGCTCTGTTTGGGACATATTAAGATGTCAACTGGATAACAAGTTTAAGATGTCTGAAAGGCAGCTGGAGATGCAAGTCTGGAGGTGAACAGAGATAAATGTGTGAATCATCAGCATAGAGATGGGAGTCACTAAGATCACCAAGAAAGGTAGGCTAGAGGGAAAGAGGGCCCAGGATAGAGCCCTGAGGGACATCCATAGGGAAATGATTTGCCCAAAGTCACACAGCCATATTTCTTTCCTACACATACAATACAGCTGGACCTAAGTGGGAGGACTATAATCCTGGGCAGGACCACATGACCAAGGGCTATTTAGATCCCAGAGGGCAATGCAGGCTTAGGAGAGAGAAAAGAGTGGTTTTGACTGTCCATGGAATCAAGCTCGTGACCCAGAGAAAGAGGGCAATCTTTGGAATGAAAGGATTGATGTTCTGTCGGAACTTTGCTCCTCCTCTCTCAGCCTTGATTACCTCATCTACAAAATGGAGGGCATGCATTAGATAGTCTCTATGGCCTCTTCCTGTTACAAATCTGTGCTACTTTGTACTTTTCCTGTGAGGTGAAAATGAAGTCCTACATCACTAGCACAGGGTCTAAGGGTCCTTTCTATTCCCCTTCCTTTTGAGAACCAGACACAGCCAAGTTCTGAAGTCTCCAGAGAAAGCATGGGTAGAGGGGAGAGGCTCATGCCAAAAGAGCCTTCAATTCCAAGATTGAACCTCATCTATACAAACCCAGAGCTTTGGTTTGGGTTCACAGAAGGCACTGAAAACTTCAGGAAAGGTACTGAGTAGTGGGCAGGGCAAAGATTTGGACTGAGTCGGATTGGACCCAGAACAGTGGCTCCACTGTGGGTTAAGTATGTGACACTTTTAAGGCATCTCCCTCTCTGGGCTTCACTTTCCTCATCCATACAACAATCATAGCTCACTACTGTCATTTTTAAAATCACTTCAAGATTTACTAAACGCTTTCCTCATGTCTACTTTGTCATAGGTAGGTAGCACCAGTATTATCATCCCCATTTTATAGGTGAGAAAACAAAGTGTCATAGAAGCAAAATGATTTGTTCAAGGTCACACAATAAGTGGAAGAGTTGGGACTTGAACCTGGGTCTTCTGACTCTAAATGCTGTGGTTTCTCACAGCCCTTCCAACTCTAAAAAGGCAGCATTTTCTGTTGCTTGTATCACATCAGGATTTAAGGCAGAAACTCAGGAGGTCCTTGGTGGCAGTCTTGGAGTCACAGCCAGCAGGCACTGTGCCTCCATGACACCATAGACTTGCTCTCCTTTTCCTGAAGAGGACTCTCCTTAGTGTAGGTGAGCCTTCTATACACAGAATCTATTTGTAGTATTCAGAAGCTATTTGAGTATGGCCACTAGGTGGCACAGCAGATAATGTTGGACCTGGAGTCGGGAAAGTCTGAGCTCATACCTGGACTCAAGATACTTACTCCTGTTGCTGCTACTTTTGCTGCTACTATGACTATGACTACTATTGCTACTACTGCTGCTGCTGCTGCTGCTACTACTACTACTACTACTACTACTACTACTTTTACTACTGCTACATAAAGCTAACATTTATATAATACCTACTATGTGCCTGGCAGTGTGCTAGGCACTTTAGAAATGTAATCTTATTTGATTCTCACAACTCTGGGAGGTAGGTGCTATTAAGATCCCCATTTTACAGATGAGGAAACTGAGGCAGACAGAGGTTAAGTGTCTTACCTAGGACCACACAGCTAGTATATGTCTGGGGCTACATTTGAACTCAGGTCTTCCTGACTCCAGGCCCATTGCTCTATTCGATATTCCACTTAGCATAGCCTATTACTATTCTTGTCCCAACAAGAGATAGAGTCGATCACAAGAGATAAAATAGGTGACTTTAACTACAAAAACTGAAAAGCTTCTACACAGACTAAATGAATGTGTCTAGGATAAGAAGTCTTGTATCAGATTTCTCTGATGTAGATTTGGCATCCAAGACATACAAACAACTAATAAATACATATAAGGTAATAGCTATTCCTTGATAGATAAATGGTCAAAGGATATGAACAAACATTTCTCAAAAGAAGAATTTTGAATAGTCACAACCATGTGAAAAAATGTTCCAAATCAGTAATAATAAGAGTAATGCAAATAACAACCCTGAGATTTCACCTCATACTCTGAAAACTGATAAAGATGAAAAACGAGGAGTTGTAGAATGATAAGGGCACTAATATATTGTCAACAGAGTTCTAAAATGGTACAACCATTTTGGAAAGCAACTCAGAATTATGCAAATAAAGTGGCTAAAATGTTCATACTCTTTGACCCAGAGATTCCATTACTGGGCTTATATCCAAAAAAGTCATTGATAAGAAGAAAGTCCCCATATTTATTTATATTTATAGCAGTGCTTTTTGTGATATCTAAGAACTGAAAACAAAGTAGATGCCCATTGTTTGGGGAATGACTGAAGACACTGTGACACATGAATGTAATGGAATATGACTGTGCTGTAAGAAATGAAAAATGTGATGAATATCAAGAAGCATGAGATCTGTATGAACTGATGCAGACTGAAGCAAGCAGAGCAGAGAAAACAATGTACACAGTAATGATAACAATGAAAATGGAATAGACAACCACCCACCAAAAAATTAAAAGTGAATGACCCAAAATAAATTCGATGAAGAGAGATGAGAGGACGCCTTCAGCCCAGCCTTTGGCAGAGATGGGAAACCCATAGGTATTACACATTGCACGTGTTTTCAGACTTTTTCCAATGTATTGACCAGTTATGTTCAATTTTTCTTTTTTTCTTTAAATATATATGTATATATGTATGCATGTATACACACATAAATGCATCGTTTGCTCTATGGAATGACTCTCTGGGAAGGGAAACTGATGGAAATGATGGTGATGTAAAAAACAAAAGCTATCACTTAAAATTTATTTTTAAAAAAAAGCTGTTTTTGCCATCCAGCAGTTCTGCTCTCTACCCTGTGCTCCAGTAATGTGAAGGTTAATAGAGGCCAATCCTGAAGTCCCAGTGCCATTGATGAATGCATGTTTCTCAAAGGCCTGATGCAAGGTATTATCAAAGACACAGTGCAGGTTAGGTTAATCTTAACTGAGAATGACCAGGGCATTCCCTTCCCCAATCATTGGCACCTTGCCCTTAGAAAGAGCATCCAAAATTAATCATAGAATGATTGTACCTCTGAAATGTTAATTGCTGCAGAAGCTACAGAAATACATAGAACAAAACCCCAGAGTTACTAGGAACAATAATCCAACTACTTTCCTGCCACCATTTTGCTGAATCTAATAAATTCCTACTACTTTGTAAAAATCCTTCACTTATAACTATAAGCCATATTGGGTAATAATAATAATCAAATGCAAAGGAATTGTAAGCATCATTACTTTAAATATGTTTTAATTAGTCACATATTTAGTTTTAACTGGAGGTTCAACTAGGGAATTGTACTGAACTGAAAATCTCAAAGTTTACATGTTAGGCAAAATAGGACTTCGTGTGATATTAAACATCACTTATCTTCAGATAGAGCCATGATTCTAAGAAATAGGATATATTTTCTGTTTTTTCTGATGCTGTTTGGTCTTAAGGCAGAAAGACTTTGTTGGGAAATAACAATGTTGACGATTCCCATGCTAGCTAAAACCAGAAATGGGAAGGGGTTGGTCAAATTTGGTGGAAGAAGTGTGGGGCCCATAATTGGGATGTGAGAAAGTCAGCCTAAGTTTTCTACATTTCTAAACCTCCAAGGCCATGCCTCAGTTGTGGGAGGCCTTACATTACTCAGTAGTCTGCACTGATCTTCCATTCTCGGACCATATCTTGCATCCCAGTAGTTTCCGAAACTAAAATGACTACATTACCGGCACAGAGCAGAAAGAGCTGGAGGAAGAAACCAAAGAGAACCCTTCCAACCCCTCCCTCCCCCCTCAACCCCTCCTTCCTTCCCCACCGCGGCTACCCCCACCCCAACAAAAAGAACCAAGAACCCCACACATACCAGCCTGCGGATCTCTCTTTCACACTCTCTCTTGATTCGAGAAATTTCCTCCTGGTGAAGGTGATACACACTCCGGATTTCGGCAGCTTTGATCTTGTCGGCCTGGATGACCATGGTCAGGGCTTCTTCAACTTGCTTCTTGGCTCCCTTGAGCTCCGAAATCTCTTGCTGCATTTTAATCTTCTCGAACTCAAAGCCCTTCTTGGCCTCCTCCCGCGCTTCGGAAATCAGCACGGTTTTGACCTTGTCGGGAGCGCTGTCCCTGAGCGCGCTGAGCAGCGCCTGGAGCCGCTGGTTCTCATTGTCTTTGATGCGGATGACGCGCAGCAGCTCGGTCTCGTGCTGTCTCAGCAGCGCTTCGCGCACTGCCTGGAGCTCCTTCATCTTCTCTTCGTGGAGCTTGGCTTTGAGCTCCGTCACCAGCACGGTGTTTTTATGCTGCTCGTGCTCTTTCACCTGCCGAATTTCCTGGTTTTTCTCCCGCTCGGCCTTACTGACCTGAAGAAACGAAAGAAGGACGTGAGGGTGCGTCCGTGAACAAGACAGCTGCATTAAAAGCGGGCGGCCATTGGGAGCACAGCTGGGGGAGGCTACAGTCTTAGAAGAGGAGAAAGCCTTGACTTGGGTCTTTTCCCACCCAGAGGAAAGAATCAAAGTCACATGGGCAGCTTATAGGATGTGGTCATCCTTTAAAATTCAGGATCTGATAGGGAGATGCAGTGAGAGGAAGTCTGCTCTCAAAACAAATGTGGACCTGGAGTCACCATGGACAGTGCCAAGGAACTTGTTGCAATGTTGATTCTTGGTACATAATATGGTATATATTCCATGCTAGAAACCACATTCCATGATAGGGAAAAAAAATTGACAAAGGATAGATGATCTCTCTTACAATAATTAGCCAAAGAATTTCACTGGTCCGTGTAAACTGTCTGCATCCACCATGTTACTGCTGGCATTTCAGGTCGGGCTATGTGAACAAAAGGGAAATACAGGTAGAAGACTGAAACTGTTGCCCTAGGAGTCAGGAGACCTGGGGATCTTGGCTGGTGTCTACCATGAACAAGCCAGATGACAATTCATTCCACAAAATCATAGAATCTCAGTTTGGGAAGGGATGGGGGGGGGCAGGAAACAGGTCATTAGGCCTGTGAATAAGGATCATCCTATTGTAAAAACACCCCCACCCTGATAAGTGGCCCTGAAGCCCTCCAAGAAATCCTCCAATAGCTCTGCTGATCAGGAAGGTTTTCCTTTACACCCAACCGAAGTCTTCTCTGTACCTTCTACCCATTGCTCCTAGCTGTGTCTGCCAGGGTCAAGCAGAACATCTCTGACATCTACCCTTCCATGCTCCGACCCTTCAACTATTCGTCCACACTAAGTCTTCTCTGCTCCAAGCTCAACCTCCTCGGTTCATTTATTTAATTATTTCGGTGTGATCTTGTGGCCTTCCCTACTGTGGTCACCCTTCTCTGGAAGCTTGTCAATGTCCTTCCCCAATGTGCCACCTGCAAGTCTAGGGATCTGACCAGGGTGGCAGACAGTGGCACTGACCTCCATCCTCAGGTAAATGCTTCTCTGATGCAGAGAAAAACAAAGGAACACAGTGACCACATTTCCAAATGCACATCTCATTCTATAGCTACAGCTCTCCACCTCACTGTTGAAAGGAAGGAGACATGTTTTACCCAGAGGCAGCTAGGGCTGTTGTCAGGAAGACCTACATTGAAATCTAGTCTCAGATACTTACCAGCTGTTTAACTAGTAAGTCACTTGATAGCTAGGCAAGTCACTCAATCTCTGCCTCAGTTTTATCATCTGTAAAATGGAGACAATAGTAGCCCCTACTTCCCAGGGTTTCTGTGAAGATAAAATGAAGTATCTGCCAGTGTTTTGTAAACCTTAAAGCACTATAGAAATACTAGCTAGCAATTGTTGCTATTCACTCTTAGTCCTCTGGCATCACAATGTGTCACAACCTTGATAAAGCAGTGAGATGGCTCAGTGGATAGAGCTCTGGGATTGAAATCAGGAAGATCTGTGTTCCAATCAAGCTTCAGACACTTATTAGCTGTATGACCATGGACAACTCACTTAAGCTCTGTTTGCCTCAGTTTCCTCATCTGCAAAATAGAGATAATAATAGCGCCTACATCCCAGGATTGTTGTGAGGTCCAAAAGAGAATATTTGTGAAGCAACTTAGCACAATGCCGGGCACATAATAAGCACAATATAAATGGTAGCTAATTAATATCATTATTTTCCTTATGTTATCACACGTTATTTCATATTTCCATATGCTATCATGCAGTTTCCCATCAGTTAGTACACATCAGTCTTCTCTAAGTTTCTCTGACTTTTTCATACTCATCATTTCTTAAGCATAATAATATTGCATTGCGTCCATGTGTAATTTGATCACCTCTTCCTCAATCCATGGTCATTGGCTTTGCTTCCATCAAATGTATTCCAAGACATAGTTTGGTAAATTACCCTGTCCACACCTTTGACCACTCTGGGATTTATGCCAGTAATTCGACCTCTGGATTCAAGGTTGAGTAGGGCTCACTGATTTTTTTTAGTACTTTCTCATTATTTCCCAGAATACTGGACTAATGCACAACTCTAATGACAGTGAGTTCAGATGCCTGTCTGAGTTCTCCTAGTTTTTCCTATGATTGTCACTTTCTATCTTTGCCAATCTGATGGGTGTGAGATGAAACCTCAGCTTTGCTTCCATCTGTACATCTCTTATCAGTAGTAACTTGGAACTTTTTTTTTTACAAAGTTGTTTATAGTTTGCATAAGAAAACAGATGTAAAATGCTTTGCAAACCTTAAAACACTATGTGAATGCTGTCTGTTGTTAGAACTATTCTTTTGGAAACTGCCTGCTTTTATCCTTTGACTACTTGGCTGCTGCAGAAGGATCTTCATTTTATATGTCAGTAACATCCCACAATCTTGCACCTCACACCTTTAACAGAGATATTTGTTGGGAAGACTATTTCCCCCAATTAATAGCTTCGATTCTGATTCTGTTGTTGTTCAGTTATTCAGTTGTGTCTGACTCTTTGTGACCCCATGGGCCATAGCACACCAATGTTGTCCATGGGGTTTTCTGGGCAAAAATACTGCAGTGGTTTGCCATTTCCTTCTCCAGTGGATTAAGGCAAACAGAGGTTAAATGACTTGCCCATGGTTACACAGCTATTAAGGGTCTGAAGCCAGATTTAAACCCAGTCTTTCTGGTTTCAGGCCCAGTGCTCTATCCACCCAGCTGCCTCTTCTGATTCCAGACACATTGGTTTTTTTTTAAGCAAAAGTTTTTTTAATATTATGTAATTGAAATAGTCTCTTTTTTCTTTCACAATTCCCTGTATCCTTTGTTTAAGAATTCTCCCCCATTTGTAAAATGTGAATTCTCCTCCATTTTTTTTTTATGAGGGGACCATTTACATTTAGGACATGTATCTGTTTGGAGTTTATTGTGGGATGTGGTGTAAGTTGTTGGTCCAAACCAAATTTCAGCCAAACTGATTTCGATTTTGACTAGCAGTTTTTGTCAGATAAAGTCCTTACCCTCTTTAGTAGTTTGTATTTGTGACTTTTCTTGAATACTAAGTCACTATGTTTGATTGCTTCTGCATATTGCTCACTAATCAATATTTCTTTTTTAACTTGTATTTTAACCTGAATTTCATGATTATGGCTTCATGGTATAGCTTGAAATCTGGTTATGCTAGGCCACATTCATTACTATTTCACCCATTATTTCCTTTAGGATTTTTGATCTTTGTTCCTACAGATGAATTTGTCTATTATTTTTGTTTGGTGCTATAAAATAACCTGACCTTGATAGAGTGCTACCAGTTTAATTGGATATTAAGCCTGTAAATTAATAATGAGAGCTGACATTTAGATAGCACTATTTGAAAAAACACTGTGCAAATAGCTCATTTGATCCTCACAACAACCTGGGGGGGGTAAATGTTATTATTATCCCTATTTTAGAGATTAAGAAACTGAGGCAGGGAGACAGGGAGAGGTTAAATAATTTGACATGATCACATGGCTAGTGAGCATCTGAGACCAGAGATATTCTCAGATCTTCCTGACTTTAGGCCCAGTACTCTCTCTACCTACTGTCACCTAACAACATAGTATACATACATACATACATACATACATACATACATACATACATATATATATATATATATATATATATATATATAAAGAATTAAAGAATTTGGGACCTTAATACCAAAAGAGGCAAATTAAAACATCTCAGTAACTACTGACGCTGTGCCCTCCTTTCTATTCAGACAAAACCCTTCTGAGGTAATACTTATGGCTCTTTGGTTGTAGATTGGGTGTATCCTCAATGAGGGTGTTAAGAAAGAACAATCAGGCTTTCAAAGGAATATTCAGCAATGAAGCACAACTTTACCATTTCATAACTAACCAAAAGAGGTGGAAAATATAAACATCATTATGTTTATTGTTTGTTTATTGCAAAAGAGCATTTGATTGCATGCAATAAAATGTTCTTCACAATAAAGTGTCTCTCATCAAGACATCAAGAGTATTCCCGATACCCTGGGAGCTATACCAACAGAAATGCCCCGTCCCATGAGGCACAACCCAAGAAGATGTAGTTCCATCCCCAGGATGCAGGACCAAGGCAGAGTCCAGATCAAATCAGGATCCCCTGTGCATGGTGAGGTCCTCCAGATGTTTCTGTTTACTCTCAAATTCTGTCATTCTGTGATTCAGTGACTTTATTTCCCTGAACCCAGTGAACAATCATGTGCTATGTCCTCATTGTCAACAACCATGAACAGACACGGTCTTTACATTCCCTTCCCTAAGTCTTTGAGGAGGTGCTTCCAAGATTGCCCTGGCCTCAATGATCCCCTCGATGTTGAACAGATCACTGCCCTGGAGCTCGGTTTTCTCATCAGTAACATGAGGGGGTTGTACTAGATGGCATCTGGGGTCCCTGCTAGCTCTGAGAGCCCAGGATCCTATAAGAACACCCATCCTGAATTGTGCCTCCCCAGCGCCCGCCTGCTATCTCTTACTTCAAAAACAATTTGAGCAGAAGATGAAGAAGAACCAGAACTCATGTGCCCACTGCCCAGGTGGAAAGGTTTTCATTGGGTTGGTCCTGATTCCAAACTAAGCAGAAAATGGCTGCTACCTGGGAGTGTGGACAAGGGAGGCCAGGGCCTCCCAGGGTCCAGCTGTGTGACCACTGGAGATCTCTCTCTGGTCAGCAGCTGGTCCGAGAACCAGACAATAGTGCCTTTTGAAACATCACAAACCCCAGTACTCACAGGACAATGAATTATTCTAAAGCTCCATACATAACTCCCACAGAACAACTGGTATCTTCAGATGCTAAGCCACCATCCTTGTCATGGTGGAGGGGACTTAACTCTTCTATATTCTTGCCTGAAACCAGGCTTTCCAGTTGCTGCCCTGGGGTC